AAGCCAGTCCTCGTGACTACATGTCAAGTCCAACTCTCCAAGCGACCCCTTGCTTTGACCCTCTTTATTTTCTTTCTCGTGATGCCATGACACCACTCTATGTTCTCTTATTTTCGTTTTAGTTGTTGAAATATAAATGAAAGACGACAATGTTATTTGCTTTTGCACGTCTATTTTGGAATTTGGAGTATCAAGAATTAAGAACTAAGCAGGAAGAGAGAGACCACCGAGATTCGTGGTGCAGTGGTTAAGAACATTTTTATTAGGTTTTTTTTTTATCTATCTTCTTAGAGTTTGATACTCTGTATTCGCGTGTCACTGTCATGCGTCTTGTAGGAAATTAAGTAGGCCTCTGAGGAGAGTGAAAACTAGTTAAATAGTCAGTAAAAGACTAGTTCAGACCATTTCTACATACTTAATGGTCCTCAAAATTACTTCTATAGTCGAAAGGACTAGGGGACATGAAGTACTAGATATATATTTTTTTTAGTAGGAAAATAAAAGCAGGAAGAGAGAGAGTGAAATATTAGAGGATTTGCAGTATTGACGTAAAAGTTTGATTCGCTGGTGCTTATTAAGATTGAGGGCTTTCTTATTCAAGCTCCATCTTACAAATTGGGTTGGTAAAATAAATGTCGAAGCCCTTTTTTATGGGCCAGAACCCAAACACGTTGCCATGAAAAAAATTAGCCCACAACAAGATGCCCAATAACTCGCTCACCCTTCTTTTATTTTCGGGTAATCTTGACAAATACATGGAAGTTATAATTTTTATTTTTTATTTTTAATTTATAATTTTTTTAATCAAATAATTACATTAAAAAATAGTATTTATCACGACTAAGAGATAAAAGTCTAGACTCATATACTCTTAAAGATAATTCTCCATCTTTTCTTTATTTTTTTCTCATTTGGGAGGAGGCAATAAGGAGGGAAATACTATAAATAGTCACTTTCCAGAGAACAAAAAAAGTTCAACTTTAGGGAAACGTTAGTAAATGGAAAAAATTAGTAAATCAGAGATTTGCAACACAAAAAATACCGAAAATACATTATCTAATATTCCTAGTATTAATGGCTTTAAAAACACTAGTAGATCATTTCCTTTTCCTCTTATGGTTGATAATGAATATGATTTACGGTTATAAATGTTAAAACTAAGGAAAATACATATAATAAGAGGTCAAGATTATTTTCAACACAATTTTTTGATGTCACGTCTAATGTTGTTTCAAGCACTATCATTTCTTGACAAATCTGATTAATTAACTTTTGAACTGCTGTCAGAGATCAGGGGCTGTGTGCGCTAACTAACCAGGAAATGTTTTTTAAAAAACAAGGCAAGATATAGAATAAGATGAAAATAGAGGTACGCACTGGAAATATAATATGCCCTTTCTGGTGCCCCGATAGCCAAAAAATACTTTGGATGAGAGAATCTGGCAATAGAAGAACCCGTGAACAATGTGTGGCCCGCATGGCGTTTTCTTTCCCATTTGTGAATAATAATATGATCCCTCTCTCTCTCTCTCTCTCTATATATATATATATATATATATATATATATGCAAAATCAAATTCAAAAGAAGCACAACATAGATTAAAAACCACTGTAGTCAGATATATGGTCATCATTAACTTCATGTGCACTTCAGTTTTTCTGAAATAAGGTTAAAAATTAAATAATTCCCATGTCACTTGGATTTTTCAGCTTTAACAAAAACGTCTCTCTCTTTCAACGTCAAATAAAAGGTCCTGTTTATTTCACCGATTTGAGTTTAAAATTTGAGTTTTGTTAGAATAAAAAGCTCTCACATAAATCACATCTAAACTCAAATTAAAAATTCGAATCAGCGATCTGAACAGCCTAAACTCTCTCATTTTCTCTCTTTCAAATATTAGTATGGACCTGCTGTTTTATACGAGTTTTTGAAAGCAATATGTTATTTCTTATGTCTAAAAGATACTACAAAATTACTGTTTATTTACCAAAAAAAGAAAGTTTAGGTGATCTTTTTAGAAGAATTTCTTCTCAAAATCAAACAATGTGTAACCATCCTCCTCCATTTTATTTAAAAAAGTTATTCAAAAGGACTTTGAAATGACCTAGTATCAGATCACATTCAACAAAATTTTATAACTTCATTCGGATATTTACATCGTTTATGTGTGAATTTAAATACTAACTTTGTCTAATTAAGCTCTTTCAAAACATATCTTCAAGCTGCTACGTACTAGATAACATATGTATCCTCACGTTCATTAAAAAAAAAGTAAAAGTTTATGTAAAAGTTATGTCAAAAGAGAGCCCTATTTCACTTTTCAGTTTACAAGTTACAATGAATCAACACTACGAGAATGAAGGTATTAGTGAGGAGACTTACAGCAAGAAAAAGAAAAAATTCCAAGCACCTTTTTTTAATACGCTATATCAAGCAATATTAATGCCTTTTTTTCCGGTCTTTTATTGTGCTCGATGTTGTAATAACTTAAAAAAAAAAAAAAAAAAAAAAAAAAAAAAAAAAAAAAAAAAATGACAATGGCATATGATTATAATTAGTACTCTTTACTAATTATTATATTAAGGTGACAAAATTGATGATCTGCGGTGCATTAATGCCATTAGCACTTTTATTTACTTAAGCAGCTTTCCCAACCAGATTCGAGCAGTTCCAAGGCTTGTAATATTGATACTACGTAATGAAATCCTTATAATAAATTACCATATACATGTAAACCCTTAATGATACCAGACAGAACGGTCAAAACATCTCAAGCTTTAATTGTTTTCTCTCTAATATTAATTAATTAATTGTGTTGTAATAAATTATTATCTCTTCTGAACACTTTAGTTGAAAGGTATTACATATATCTGTTGATTCATTAAGTAAGAATTATTATCTTGACTGCTCCAAACGTACGGCATGCATTAATTAATTCAACGCCCTTAACGCCATGCAACTTTTTGGGGTTTTTTTTTTTGATAATTATTATTATGGATTTGAGGTGAATGTACTTTGCATCTCTGTTTGCCCTAAAGGTGAATCAATATTGAAGCATAAATCTAATCTTACCCAAAAAGAAAGGAACATATATGAATCTCACTCAAAAGCCCCTGCATATTCAAAAGATAATTAGATGAAAAGAAACCCACATAGGATTCCCAAAAGGAATGCATATATATATATATATATATAAGAGCAATATTCATAATAATAATTAGGTGATCAGCATATGATGCCCACCAAAGTTTCGGAATTCAGATGATGATGGGTCCTATTTCCTACACGCCTATGTCTTAATGGGATTGGTTTTTGCATGGTCGCTTCCATTTTGTTTTAGGTCACGCGGCCGCCAAAAGAGAAGGGAATATATCTCAAATTTAGTCGCAAAGACAATTTTAACCGTAAGTGTTTCAGACGTTTTGAGCAAGGTTTTTGCTCATTTTGGTGATCAATGAAGAGGACAAAGTGGACAATTTGTCTACATGCATGGCTTTCAATTTGGGTTTGGAATAAAATAAAGTTAAGAAAAGGAAAAAAGAAGACGCCTTCCCAAGTTCCCCCTTCGGTGGGGTTTCCTTGGGCACTTTCTCCGTGCACCAGCTAGGATGTGAGAGAATTTTCAATAACAAAAGAAAGAGACAGAGAAAATGGAAAGATTAATTTGGGAGAAAATCCTCAACTATATTACGCAAACCCCTAATGATTATTCAAAGAGAACTTGAAAAACTGGAGGAGGAGAAGAAGAAAATATATAAAAAAGGAGGGTAAGTCGATGAATCTCTATATGGTCTCTGAAAATTTCACTGCTAAATAATTGAAAATTATAAATTAATTTAAGAAAAGAAAATTTTACAAACAGAAACAAATGAAAATTAAAGAAATTAAGCGAGGATGCTTATAAGAGGAATTAAAAGATAGATTTGGAAGGTCCCCAAGAAAAAATTGAACAAAGATAGAGGTGAAGTACTCAAATAAAACGCGTCCACACATTTGCTTTTTTGTTTTTAGAACTTGTCACATAAATCTAGGGATATCCTAATCTTAACGTGCATGTTTTTAAATATTATTAGATGTAGTTAAAATCATGTTAAGATAATATATATATAAGGCATTTTCTTTGGTCTTTTTGGAGAGAAGTCCCCTCAAACGTCACATGTAATTATGAAAACATAACATGAAAATTATTAAACGTTAACATCGACGTTAGAGAGACGTAATACCAAAAAATTTAGTTATCAATGTGATATAAATATATAATATACATATATATATATATGAATGTGATAAAAATATGATCGTTCAAAATATAATATACAAGTTTTATTTATTTTACTGATTCAAGTTAATAACTTGAATTGAAAAGTGAATTTATATAAAAAAATTTAAATATAAAAAGTTAAATTTAAATTTTTATTAAAAAAATGCACTGTAATAAAAATTTTAATTGTGATTGGACCTAATAAAACTAACGGGATAATAATATAAAGTACTATAGAGATTTGTGTCAATCAATGAATCAATCATGTATATAGTGGGATTGGGGGGTACTATAAGCTCCCTCTCTGTACTCTACGTCTCTCTTTTTGCCTTTTCAGCGTCCCACAATATATATACACACATATACACACACACATATATATACATACCATTTTAATCTTCTCATTCCCCTAAGCCATATTTTAAGCAAGACCTCCTTTTAATATCATTTCCATTCAAATCAAGGGCCTTTAGAGTTTGGGTGTTTTATTACAGGAACAAAGGAAAAGACAGAAAGTGCCAACGTCATACACAAAAAGAAAATAATTAGAATAAAGAAATGTACTAATTTGACGAATCAAGTGGGGATTGATTCTTCCTCGTCTTTGCTTGGCCTCTCTCTCTCTCTCTCACTAACCTTTACAGAATTCTTAGCTTTTTCCGGGTTTTTTTTTAGCCTTTTCTGGTCATCTATATTTTTCCTCTCTTATTTTTTTTTCTCCATTCAATTTTCCTTGATCTGCCACTGTAATCATAACTGATAACCCTCTATGTACTGTGTACATAATTATATATCTACAATATACACTGATACTGTACCTCTTCATATTTTCTGTCCCTCTCTATGTGCACATAAATAGATAAAAGGAGAGGGTTATTGGGTGGTGAATTAAGATCAGGTCCTGAGACAAAAACCAAACCAAAACAAAAAACAAAAAAGAAACCCCATCTGATAATTATCTGATCTTTCCATGTTGGATTGCATGGATGGATGAGAGCTCCTAATTAGAAAGAGAAAGAGATCTAGAGAGAGAGTTTGGAAAGAGATATATGATAATATATCTGTATGGCGTTGCAGAGTTGTTCAGACAAGCAATAGCAATCCATGGCCTTTAGATAGCGACTTGGAGAATAACCCATCGTCATCATCATCATCTCTTCACGAGATTATTATAATTTATTTATATTTCTCTCTCTCTCTCTCTCTCTCTCTCTCTTGTTCTTTACCATCCAATAAACGATGCCTTTCTGTGGCTATATCATGTGTACTCCAAAACTGGGATTCTCTCTACTACTTCTAGGGCTGCCCTTATTATATTTTGTAGTCTTCCCTGTTGTTTTCTGAGAGAGTTTACAAAAGTGGGGTAGTACTTGAAAGGAAGGGTTAAAGTGGGAGAAAAATAAAAGATCTCTTATTACAAACAAAGAGATATTATCAGAGTACCACAGAAGGGGTTTTTTCTTTCTTTTCTTTTTCTTTTTCTTTTGGTATTTGTTTTTCTCTCCTTGGAGTTTTCTTACCATTAAGCAGGTGGCCAAATGTTTTCAGCAGCCATGTCCAATTCAACGTCTTTGTCTACTGATGAAGCTAGTGTTTCTTCTGGTACAAGAGTCCAGGATTTTGGTGGATTATTCAATCCGCTAATTTCATCCTTTAACTCTCCTCATGATCATCAAGAGCCACAGAAACTTAAGAAGAAAAGAAACCTCCCTGGAAACCCAGGTATTATATATATATATATATATATATATATATATTTGTATGTATAAGAAGACTTTTTCTTTCTTTTCTTTCCTTCTTTCTTTCTTTGTTTTGTTGTAATTAGGTTTTGTCTTGGTGTTATAACTTTTTCTTTTTTTATGGTACTATTTGTTTATAGACCCAGATGCAGAAGTGATTGCACTGTCCCCGAAGACCCTTTTGGCCACAAACAGATTTGTTTGTGAGATCTGCAACAAGGGGTTTCAGAGGGACCAAAACCTTCAGCTCCACAGAAGAGGGCACAATCTTCCATGGAAGCTGAAGCAAAGGAGCAGCAAAGAGATAAAAAAGAGAGCTTATGTTTGTCCTGAGCCAACCTGTGTTCATCACCATCCTTCAAGGGCTTTGGGAGATCTCACTGGGATAAAGAAGCACTACTGTAGAAAACATGGTGAGAAGAAGTGGAAGTGTGAGAAGTGCTCCAAGATTTATGCTGTTCAATCTGATTGGAAGGCTCATTCTAAAACCTGTGGCACTAGAGAATATAGATGTGACTGTGGAACCCTTTTCTCCAGGTACATTAAATTTTTTTTTTTAATATCCCTTGCTAATTCAGTCATTAATTTATGAGTTTTGAAGATGGTATTTTGTAAGCTAGTTATTACTTTGGAAGCCAAGAAAAAAATGTTGGTCTTTTGTCAAAATTAGGAAGTCTTTCATGTCTTTATAGGTGGTCTAATATTTGTTTCTTGTTTTAGCAGTGCTTAATTGGTTGAGTTTTTGTTCTTACACAAGCGTGGTAAGTTGTGCATGGAATATATATCCGGTGCTTTAAATGCAGTGGCAGCTTGCGCTGAAATAGACACCACTAATGCAAGTGTCTGTCACTGCGGACATTGCAAGAGAAACTGAAAGCAATATCTCTGAATATCTGCACCTGCCATATATATAGATATATATATATATATATGTATAATCATGTGCTTGAATTAAAAAATATATATATAAATTTGAGAAAAAGCAACTAGTCTAAAGCGGTCTGATTTTCATAAAAGTGATTGTCAACATTCAACAAATTTTATTGAAGGGTCAGGATTTCTCACATTTGGAACTTGAAAGAGATCAATTAACACAATTTTAACAAAGTTATTACATGGTTCAAAATCAGTTTTGTTGAGTAGGGTCGAGTTTTTTATGTTATGTTTCCCTTAATTGGTATTTTGTAAGGATTGTGACTGCAGTCTCGAAAACAATGATGGAGATCTGCTCTTGTCCAAGAAAAAGTTAAAGAAAGCCTAGCTAATTACTTTTGGGGTTCCATGGTTGAGAAAACCCGTGACTTTTTTTTTTTTTTTTTTAATTTTTGGGTGGTGGGGGGTTATGTGGATAATGTCATTATTTACATGCAGAGCGCACAGAAACTCTGAAGTTTTCATCATTATGAAAACTGATAAATCTGCAAAACATATCTGATTTGGTGAGCCGCTTTTGCTCATCTAGATATGCTGCTGGGTTTTTTTTTCATGAATCCTTATAATGCATGCACGAGTCCCACTTTCAAAAGACTAGCTAGCTATTAGTGTGTATTATCTTAATTCTCTATTTATCAAAATTTACCAATTTCTTGACACATTATATATTCATGCACATTTTGCATGCATATATAATCTATAATTCTATGTAACTCACCATCATTCCTCTCTCTTCCTTGCATTTTTTTTTTAATTTTATAACTTAATTTACACAAATTCCTGTCACTTTCTTTTGGGATGCTTTTTATATGCAATCTTCTTATTCACCCATGTAATTCACATGCACGACTTTGGCATTGACGACTTTTGGCATTCACACTCCTGCACTCATTATATTGTACATGCTGCGGCAATATATATACACATACATGCATGCATGAAAAAATGCCCATCTCCTTTTCTTATGAAAAAATAGCCATCTCTTTTTCTTTCCTTTCTAGAACTAACGGATTTTTCATTTGACTCCAATATTATATCCCTAACACGTATCTACAGAGCTATAAACTCATAAATTATATATAAACATACCTGTGTGTGTATATGTGTGAATATATATATATATATATATATATATATATATCCTCCGCTCACATTTTGCTTCTCATTCTTTCAAACGTTCAGTATTATAAATGCTATATATACACTCAACAAAAAACGACGCAAGAAACTTAGCTAGATAACATTTAGTACTACTCCGTACAACCCCAATCACAGATCTCATCATATCTTGGCTCGCAGTTTTCAACTAGTTCGAACTATATATTGTTCTTACTTGCAAATATTTCTTAGTTTTTCACTTTTTATTTTTACAGGAAGGACAGCTTCATAACCCACAGAGCATTCTGCGACGCATTGGCTGAAGAAAGCGCAAGACTCTCAGCAAACCAGTTAGCCACCACCCTCCAACCTCTCTTCCCTAATTTCCCTAATATTTCCCATCATCATCATCACTTCCTAAACCGACCACCTTTTCACATTCACACTCAAACTCTCAATAACAATGTTAATCCTTGGGACCCACCTCACAACAACCCTAACCCTAGCCACCACCAACTTCATCATCAGATCATCATCAAGCCTGAAGAATCCGATCACCGCCACTTCCAAATCCCACCTCCGCCGTCCGCGGCGCTGATATTGCCACCGGAACAACAACAGCAACAACCTCAACCTCTACAGAAGTCGATCAGCATGAATATCAGTACCACTAGCCTCCACGTGGCGCCGCATTCGTCCGCCACGTCAGCGCACCTCTCAGCCACCGCGCTCCTCCAGAAGGCCGCGAGCGTCGGCCCGCAGCCGGCGGCGGGAGGCGCCCCCGGCCACATGGCGGGGCTGGCTGACGTGGGCGGCGGCGAGTTCCTCGCCACGTGGCAGAAGAGCGACCGGTTCACGAGGGACTTCCTGGGCCTGACGGCAGTTGATCATGGCAACGGCCGCTCTGGTGGTGATGGGGCCGGTGATCGTAATGGTGCCGTTGACATTAGCGTGAGCGTGAAGGACATGCTAACATACGCCGGTGGAGTGGAGTTCGCGGCGTATCATGAGCGGGAAGGGTCGCTGTTGAAGCCGCAGGGCTTTGGGTTCGCGGCCGCCTCGGCGTCGGAGACGTGGGGGGATTGTTAAGAGTTTGTGCTTGGAGGGGTAAAAGGGTAGTTTAATAGACTTTTTTTTATGTATCGTGACAGAAATACCCCTCCTCCTTGAGGAAATAATGAGGGAAGAAATATGGAAGAAAAGAAAACAAAATGAGAATTCCTCTTTTGTATGCGGTTTATCTATGACGAATATTTTATATTCTGTATTATTTTTTAAGTCCCTTTTTTTTAAGGTGCTTGTTTAAGTCTTTGATTTCGTATTCTTATTAACTGAGAAAAAAAAAAAAACTTAGTTGTTGTTTCTACTATAGTACTAGGGATCTCTCTCTCCTGCACTTTTTTTATTCTTCTTCTTCCTATATGTTGCTTCTCATTTTAAAATGGTACAATATTCTCTCTCTCTCTCTCTCTCTCTCCCTCTCTCTCTCTCTCTCGAGTAGTTCCAAGAATTTGTTTATCTTGTTCAAAGGATACAGAGGTACGTTAGGTGAAGATAATAATGCCTTCTTGTAGTGTCTCGTGTACAGCCACAACTTTAGAAAGATAGAAGAAAAAGGCAAAAAAAAAAAAAAAAAAAAAAAAAAAAAGAGAGAGAAAAAGGAAATCAGCATCAAATTCGGTACATTTGAAAAAAAAGTTAGTCATTTATAATTGGCTCATAAAATTCTTAAGGATAGCTCAGTTATAAATAGAGCTCTTTCTTTTTTCAATTTTACATCTCATTCTCACTTTTTAAAGAAAATTTTTATAGTGTAATAAGTTTAATTTTTCTAGTTTTTTTTTTTTTTAGGTGTTTCTTCTATTTATATGACAAAGTGATTTTTATTGTTCTCTCCGTATAATTTTGAGAGAATGTTATAATCCTCATTTTTTATAATAAAATCATTCTATACTTAGCTTGTGATTTTTATTTCATCTTTTTTGAGAAATTTTCATGTAAAATACTATGTATTTATATTATCTTTATTTTTTATTTTACCATCAGATTTATCAACATCTCCTGATCGAATCAACGTCACGTGCAAAATAGTACTTGGGATTTCTTGTCCGAGCATATATATTATCCGACCCTTTTATCATTATATGCCACATCTTGAAGTCCAATTCTTCATAAGCTAAGAATTCAACAAGGAAAAATACACGATCCATCGTCAAGATACTAAGTGAAACTTTTGCTGAATTAATTTGGACTAAAGAATTTAATATTGTACGGAATGACAAGGAGGACAAAAATTGGAGGTTTTATAATTATGATTAATATGACTATATAACTTTAAAAAAAAAAAAATTTGAACATGCATGTCCTTTTTCTGAGCAATAATAATTGGTGATGAAGCTTGAGCAACCCCACTTTGTCCATTACTTTCAATGAATGTATTATGCATTTGGAAGATTTATTTCGTCCTTCCCAATCCTCTTTTTTCTTGTTTAATATAGACTATATTTTGTACCTTCTAGCAGCCAAAAGAAAGAAGATAGCAAAAAAAAAAAAAAAAAAAAAAAGTGATCGATACTATAGATATATAAGGAATATTGGTGAGATATAGGGGCGTTGAGATGTATCACATTATGACCTCGTTCATTTCGTTGATTTGAGTTTAGAATTTGAGTTTTGTTACAGTAAAAAGCTCTTACAAATAATCTTATCTAACTTTTTTGCTATAGTAAAAAACTTTCACATAAAATCACATCTCAACTCAAATTAAAAACTTGAATTAGTGAACTAAACGGGCTCTATACTTTTGTATTTTAATTGTTTGTGTGAAAAACAAATGTACACTATATATGTGCTTTGTAAACAATGACAAAAGGGACTTTCAAAGGCAGGACCACAAGCAGAATGGATATCAGTCTGTCACTGTGCATATATATATATATATATACATATTACTCTGACTGTGTGCATATATATTGTACACAGAGATGATGATGATGATTGAACAATTTTTCCAATATTATTTTATACACGTAATGAATTAGTACCCTTATTGGAGAATTGATTACATTATTTTCTGCATGCAATACAATTACGTTAGAAAGTACAGAGATCTCTCCATGAGTAATTTACGGCCCCAAAAGAAATTGTAGAATAATAGCACGATAAAGAGAGAGAATAACACGTGGTATGGCATATTAGAATAGCGCCTAGAAGAGCAAATTATTAAAGATAAGGTTAAAGGGCGAGATTGCAAAAAAAAAAAAAATTTGAGGTGAGCATGTCGGTTGGAGGGGCCATACCTTGTACTCTTCGGATTGACGTATGTGCCCTCAGATGTTGACAGTGATAGCTGCATTTGATTATTATAATTAAATTTATGTTAATTTTATCAATTTAAATTTTATTATAATAAAAAATTTTAAAAAATAATCACATTTAATTTTTTTATTACAATAAATTTTTTTTACATAAAATTATATCTTAATTCAAATTAATAAATTAAACAGCCCTAAACTTACTTTAAAATTATTATGACCAATTAACCCACAACGTACGTCAGATCCTTGTCTACGCTGATTAATTAGTTTGACATTAATTTCCACAAATGCGACTAGTTTCTACCTTTGGTCTCCGGTTTTTCTCACCCCGCGAGTTTCTCCACTCTTTCATCCCAAAGACTTTTATTTTCACATATATAAATATATATATATATATATAATTTTATGTCGTTTTACCCTAGCAGTAGAATAAGTTTTATTAATTATTATTGTTTAATTAGATTTTAACTTCCCAATTTATAGATATTCACATTAAAATTCTGTTAATTTTACCGATTTAAATTTTTAATTTTAATTATATTACAATTAAAAATTTTCACAAAAATCACATTTAAAAATTCAAATTTATAAACTGATGAGACCTAAAAATAATAGACCGTGTGATACAATGGAACTCGCACTTATAAATGAGACGGTTATAAATTTAATCAAACAGCTAAAAAAACAAATGTGGCCTACGGTATAATTTTATGTGCGATAAAGTGCGGAAGTTTATATATATATATATATAGACACATTAATTTATGTCATTATTGATTGTAAAAATGGCTAATTAATTGTTGTTTATTCTGAGAAAAAGAGATACCCTGGTGTACTGTGGAAAGGTATCCTCTCAGCTCCTTTAGATTTAGAAGGAAAAAAAAAAAAAAAAAAAAAAAGTCCAAAGAAATTTGGATAAATTTTATTTTTCCCCCTAAAATTTAGTCACTTGATCGCTTTGCTCTTTAATCTTTAAAAACCGGTCTATTCAACCCTCATACTTTAAAACGTTAGCAAATATTCCTCTTTTTGTTATGTTGCATCCATTTGAAGCTGCTGAGACACCGTTCTAAACAATAAAATCTTGTTTTAAATTAAAAAAAATTATGATTAATGATAAACACTTGGATAATCGTTAATATTAAATAAATAAAAAATCAAATGAGAGAGAGAGAGAGAGAAATTTAACATGTGGAAGAGGAATCCCTTCCCCTCCCTGCAACGAATCTCCCACGAATCTCCCACCAAGTTTAGGTTTGATCTGATCGAGACGAAATCCCGCGGCGGAACCTGAAATTCTATGGCGATGTCTCTCAAGCGTGGCTGGTGGCAAATCGACAGCAGCCCACGGAATCAAAGTCCGATCATGATTCATGGAAATCTGAAGCTAAAATAGGTAATTGCTCAAATCATTTTCGATTCTCAATTTACAAGCAATTCCTTTAAAGTACCTTTCAATTTCGTAGAAGCTCATCTTTGTACTCTGGGTCTGGGTTTATGTTCTTAAACGTTTAAGCCATATTTATGGTTCTTATTTTAACAAATATAAAATAAATAATGGTTTTCGTTATAATCAAAGTCAAAGTTTTCAACTTCACATCAATATTTTGTATTTTAACTGACTAATGTCTTCTTGAGCAGAAAATTAGGCAGAATTCTACTGAAATTTAATTTGAGAATTTGAACTAGAACCGGTCTCATAAAGAATAGGAGGATTAAGACGTGTAAAGTAAGTTGATTCGATGCCGGAAATGTATAGAAACATAAAACGATGAAAATTCTCAATTTCGGACCAAACCCGAAAACGTTGGTTATTGATCCGGAAATTGGAATCCGGTGTTGTTTTGGGCTAGGAAACGAAGATAAAAGGAGATGTTTGGTTCATGGATTAGAATCATGTGATTAGAACCATTTTTTATTTACGTGTATTTTTTGTGAGAGAAAATACTCTAGTGAACCATGATTCAAATCATGGTTTGAATCCTCCAACCAAACGTTAGTTTCAAAAAGTGACCAACGCCAAGTTGAAGAAAATTTCTTTCCGAACATAGCATTTTCTCAAAAACGACTTTAGACGCTAGTTTCGGGTTAATTTCTGAAACAGGTCCAAGATGGTGATTGTTTGTCGAATATGCACGAGTTTGGAGCATGATGTTGGGATAGAAAATATTTCGGTCCAGATATCGAACATAAGAATTGTAGACCTTTTCGAGTTAAATTCTATTGCAATTATTGATCTTAGATTTTAAATAATGATAAAAAATTTAAATAATAGGATCGGTAGACGATCAAAGACGGAAAGCTTCGGTGACTCAAAGATCGCAACGTTAGCAGAACTTCTATAAGTATCAGTAGTTTTTCTTGTCTATGACACGAATGAACTTATTCCTCTGTGTTGCACAGATTTGTGCATATTGTAGATTTAATGTATGTTAGAATGTGAATGATGTTTCTTGAATGTTATATATGATGTTATGAATGTACTTACAGACTTTAAGTAGTAGTAGAATTATACTCTGTGAAAAGTCTGAGAGTAAGTCAAAGTAAAGGTCAAAGTCAACGAAAACTTAAACTTTTATGAAAAGTCAACTTCATAGAAAATTGATGAAAATGTGTAAAAACGCAAAATAAAATTAAAATTACTGTCATAATAAGAAAAAATAACAGTAAGACGATGTTCAAAGAAAAGATGATAAAAGTAAAAAAGAAACTAAAACTGTTTGTACCGGCCTCTACAAGAGAGATGTTATTATAAAACTATGAGTGAGCTAGTTATTTTGGGTAGCTCCCCCACTCCTCATTAGGATGTGCGCAACGGTACAACAGGATGGGACCTATAAGAAGTAAAATACATGAAATTGTAATACGGCAAACGTTTCATATGAGAGTACGGAAGTCGTAAAGAAGTATGAGACGAAAGAAAAAGAAAACATAATGCGAAAGTCGTTCAGAATGTTAGAATATAATACGAATGACTAAACAAAAAGAAACGAAAGCTGAACAAAGTCTGGAATGAAAAGAGGAAAAACATAAAACGATAAACGTTTTTGATGTATAAAGTACATTAAGATATATGACATGGATGCATATATGAGTGTGCATTATTGTTTGCATTTATTATGATATATTGTTACTTGCTGAGCGAAAACTCATTAAGTTTGTTCGTGTTGTAGGAATCTCGAGTAAGGCACCGGCTCTCTAAAACTTGTTGCTAGGCATGCATAGAAGATGTAGCGGTAGAGTGTAGGCAATGAGGTGATGGACGTAATGCAGAATTGAGAATGTTGTAATATGTGTATAAAGTAAATAGTAATTATGGACGTAAGATTATGTAAGTTATGTAATGAATGTAAAGTTTGTGAGACTACAAGGTATGCTAAAGTACCCAGAAAGGTTACTATGATAATGGCTTATGAATGATGATGATATGTGAAGAATAGATTGAATATTTGACCATGTCTAGAAACTTATTTTAAAAGTAATAATTCGACAAAGTATGTATTATCTATTCTACTATTGAAGGAAAAGAAAAAATAAATGAGCCTAAATGTTAGGAGTTAATAGTTCAGGAAGGACATAAGTTAAGAAATGAGTTACGTATAACGTAGTAATAATGACTAAAAATAAGGGTTGTCACATTAAATCAGTGCCACATTAGCTTTAAATGGACGGAACATAACATAAGGAGGATTTTTACTAACGTTTTAAAGTTTAAGGGGTGAATAGATTAATTTTTAAAGTTCATGAGGCAAAGTGACCAAATGACTAAAATTCAAGAAGAAAAAATAAAATTTATCTAAGAAATTTCTAATGCGAAAATCACCTATTTGTTTCTTATAAGAACAAGTTGTCAATTTGTTCACACCAAACCATCACAACCAATCACAATGGTAGTAGCTAGTAGGGCAAGTCCATGAGATGGGAACTAATAATATTTTTCATCCTAGGAATTTATCATCCTATTCCTAGGAATTTATATAAAATTAACGATTAGCTAGGCTAACGAGAGAACCGTAGATATCTAGGTTTACAAGGTGGCACAGGGAATAAATCAAAATGTAACCATATTCTATAGGTATATAATTATATAAACTCAAAAGTGGTGTCTAGATAGAGGTCTTTATCACTGGTAATTGTCATTTTTATTTAATGAAAAATGTTAAAAGAGAGTCATTTCCAGCTCATGTAATGGCCACGAGAGCAGCAACTGCAGAGAAATATTTAGAAGACTGAATATTAGAGCACCTCACTTTTCTATTCATTTCAAAAATTTAATTTTCCAATTTATTTTTGGCCTTTCTTTGCAACATGTACATTCCAATTAAAGAATGGAGTTTTCCAAGAAATTCTTTTTCTCATCACTTTAACTTTCTTTTTGAGTACTAGAAATGGCATGAATTTCAAAGAAACATGCATCCTTTTGTAAAGATGGTGCGTAGAGACTGCAAAACCATGTTGTAACTTGTAAGCGTGAGTAGAAAGAAAGGCAAACTAAGTTGATGCTGTATGTGTTTTTGTGCTGGGTGTGGTGGTGGTCCGGGAATTAGCTATGGTGAACAACCTAAAGAAAAGAAAAGAAAAGGCAAAAAGAGAGAGAGAGAGAGAGAGAAATAAAAGATCATAAATGTCAACGGCTATGGAAAAGATGCTCAATTGAACTTTGAAAAAAAATTGAAAAACACAATTCGCAGTCCTCTTTTTACTTGATGACACACTTTATCAATTTCTGTGCACATTCCCCACAAACAGCCTTCCGTGGGCTATGTGTGTTAGTTAAGCTGCAATATTTCATGCATTGACTCAACCATCACATAATTGAGGTGCTACTTTCCTGCTCTAAACAATCATAATCTATAGATAAGAAATAAAACCCATCAAAAAGAAGGAGAAAAATAGACTGATTGACCTTAGTATTATGCTTAGGTTTCTTTAATCTGAAAAGGGTTTAATGTAAATGGTTGATTAGTTAACGTTTACTAGAGTTGAGTTTTAAGAAAGTAACTCAAAAGCATTTAAAGGACGAGAAAGATAGTAATATGGTTAAAAACATGAATCTTTTGCAAAGTTTTGGATGACCAAAAATTCTTTCCCCACAAGGCCACAACTTAGTATATCCACTGAGAGAAAAGAGAGAGAGAAGCCTAGGGATTAACGAAAGTAGGCTTGGGTGGTTATGGTATATCCAAGCTTTTAGAAAGTTAAAAAAAAAATACGTTGGTTGCAGGGTTAAGGTACAAAACATGCCATTTGCCTATAGTAAAAAAGACGCTCTTTTTTTATCTTCTTCTGCTCCACAACCAGACAAACTAAAAGCTTCCCTTCTTCTATTCCCTCCTCTTTCTTTTTCACAACTTACTTGCATATGTCATCTTCCACCAAAGAATCTTGCCTCCACAAACTTCTTTTTGCATCTTTTCTTCCCTTCCAGTCCTAATAATTACCAAGACTTTCTTTTTCTATGCTTTTCTCTCCTTTTTCCCCTTCTCCTGCAAATCCCCTTCAAGTACCGCCCTTTTCCACTCTCTCTTGTATATTATTCGACAAATATAACAAAATCCAGAATCAGATCACGTTCCCAAGCCATTTCCAACCTAAAAATTACGTCATAAATGGTGTTTTTGCTTCTGCTAGTTGCTTCTTTTACTCCTATGCTATCCTAACAAATATAGCCAATGAAACCTATTACGAAAAAGAAAAGAGGATAAATGATAGAGACAGACGCGTCTGTACTCTGTGGTCTTAAATCTCAAATGTTATCACATAAGCACCCTTAACGTCCCTTTCTAGAGCATATGCCCGAGCTAATAGTGTTTACATAATTTTCTCAAGTATTTGATAAAACCAGTTCTTTCAGCATGTTAGTTTTTTTTTTTTTTTTTTTTTTTTTTTTAAAAAGAGTTTCTGTAGTATCCGCCATACTGATAGTCTCAATCTTTGACCGTTGAATCTGATTAAAATCACATCATATTAAAAAGATATACATAACAGACAGATTCCGATACAAACTTAAAAAAACCCACTAGTGCAAATAATATTTTGAATCACTGAAAAATATACCAGTTGTCAGATTTTAGAGAAATGCAGAACATGAATATTTAAACTGAACCCTTCAGAATTGTTTAACAATAATTTGGATGGAGTGTAGACATCCGACGCATACAGCATTTACAGTTCTAGTCAAAGTTTGCGATGATTTTAATCCTACAAAAAACCTGTGGTGAACACATGGAAGAATATCTTGTGAGAGAAGAAAAGCTACAGCAGTGAATGCATCGATTTTCTCCCTCAAGATTCGGGAGGGACCAATTTCTTTAAGTTGGTAGCATTGTATGTCTAAAAAATCATCATCATCTGATCCCTGGTATTGACCCAACAGAATTCACTCCCAAATACTTTTCCAACACATTCTTGAATGCCTGCACCAAAAACAAAGAACATTTTATGATTTTCTTGATCTCAATCGGTTTAAGAAATCTATAGTAGCCCGTTAAAACATCCCACGTCTTGGACAGTGAGTTCCTATTTATTTCTTTATTTTTTGGCCACGGACACACAAATATATGTTATGCAGCAATATACTTCAAACATCTTCATGTGCTTCCTCGGGAGATTCTAGTATAAATTAGGTAGTATCATTTTTACGTGTAAATTACGTTTAAATTTTTCACAAAAGTGGTATATTCGAATATCAATTCTCTTAAAGTGGTATTCCTTTGATTCACTTTCTTGTGCAGTTCCAAGTCCTTTTGACACTGAATTTTTAAATGTATCCAAAATTTGCAAGAAGGTTAATATACGGTTTATAAGTATCTAAGCTGAGTATAACCTCATATTCAAAGAGATCTAGAGGTATAATAGAGATTGAAGTTATATCAGCTCATTTCACACTTTCTCTATTCTCTTCAACCTAAAATAAAAAAATAAAAAAATAATAATAAAAGGAAACCCTCTATCGTGGATAGCTTGGAATTTCAGTCGACCTAGACATTATTTGCAATATTGCTGCTCATATACCTGGAAGAGCTTAAGATATAAAGTACACAAGCTAATGATTACACAGACGTCCACTACGACAATAAAGAGATGATGAGAATATATAAATGTGACAGAATATATAAAGAACCTAAACAAAAGCAAGGCATCCTTAAAGAAAATTCTAGTGAACTTTTCATTTTTAGAGAAACAAGGACATATGTAGTTATTCAGGGAAAAACAAGTAGAAGAGAGTTGGATCAGACACTTCTGATGAGAAGGAATTAAATGGAAGTGAATTGAGATGGCCGACTGCAAGTCATGCGATAATATGAACGCTATGCAAGCAATTCATTTTAAGAGAAACAAGGACATATATAGTTATTCAGGGAAAAACAAGTAGAAGAGAGTTGGATCACACATTTCTGATGAGAAGGAATTAAATGGAAGTGAATTGAGATGCACGACTGCAAGTTATACGATAATATGAACGCTATGCAAGCAAATATATATATATATATATATTTCAAATTACATACATCCATTTTAATCATCGATTACAAAGGAAGAGAGGACAGATGACCTCAAGAATTACGAAAACAAATATGAACTGATCAAAACTTTTGTTTGATGGTGTTTAAACAATAAAAATCTATTTTGTTCTCTCTGCTCAAGAAAACGGTAGCAAACTACAAAGTCAGGTTCATCTAAAACCAGCATACTTGACCTCAAGAAAGAAAAGGGTCATGTTCAGGACAAATAGCAATTTATTTAGCATTTTTTAATTTTCTTGGCAATGGATCTCAATCACATGGACAATGTTAAAAACCAATTTCAAACTGTAGAATGTATTTGTCCTTTCTTGTGGCAACCAAAGGCAATAAAGGGTTCTTCATCGCAAGAAACACGATTAAAGTGTGCGAGGAAGTATGACACAGCTAGATATTTAGAGTGAGAAGATCAATTATTTACAATACATCTGCAAAATGAACCCATGACATCAAGGACATTCTTAATATTAAGATTTCTTTTTTTACTTTCACATAGAAATGTTTCTCAAAGCTGTACAAGAAGGATTGTATATATGCATATTCTACTCCATGCCGAAGAGGTAAATATGGTACGTTTGGAATGAAACATCAAGCTGCAACTAGTTCACGTAATTACCTGGAGTGCAAATGATTCTTTACCATTTAGAATAGCATCCATTGCAGCAAACTGATCATCAAAGACACCATAGAAAACCTGGTAGAATTTGTTCCTGGAATGATGACCAACGAATTTAAACCAAAAGTAAAGATGTGTGTTCCTCTGTCACTAAGAAAGTTTAGGAAAGGAAAGGTCATCGAAACTAGCATTTACCGCTCATCCTCAGTGATGAGTCGATCTAGCTCGTCAAATTTACGTGTAAGGACTTCTGCTGCCACTGGTGAAAGCAAATGAAGTATTAGACCCTCCAGAGTTCTTGGGAAGTTGTGCTGAAAAAGGAAACGTGACAAATAAAAATTATTAAAACGAAAGGGTTAACTGATTCATAAGCTAAGTTACATATAGCTATATGGTCTGGTACATCAGCACTAAACAGTTAAATGCATAAACAAATATTTTTGCACCACAGGACTGCAGCATCTCCATTGTTTAATAATCTGAACTTCCCTTTTTGATGATACGAGTGTAACCAATTACTAAAGATCCCTTTTCTACCCCCAATGGTGCCACAAGCCTATGCTATGACGGCATCAGAGAATGGTATCAGCATATGATACTTGAGAACAGTGGTCTCAACCCCACAACCACTAAAAGGACAAAAAAAAAAAAAACAAATACAAAGCTAAAGAAAAGTCACTTGTCCATAGTTGTCCGACGTTGCTTTATGCTAACACAAACTCGCATTTTCAATATATGGAATCATGTTACTAAAGTTGCACAATATTTTTAACGTATATAGCCGACATACAAAGTCTAACTATCTATTACAAGCTACATAGGATAATAGAATGGTTTAAAAAACTCACTGCCATTGCAAGAAAGACATTTTGAAGAGCGCATGGTTCAAGGGCCGACAGAATCTTGGCTACTGGGTCATCTTCCAAGCTAAATGAATTAGTTGTCATGGTCTTTTTGTGTTCAACTTCAACGCTAGCGTCAGAAACAGTTCTTGATGCAGAATGCATCAGTTCACCCCTATCAGCAATACTAATCCGATCATGAACTAAAGAAACAAGAACATGAAGTGCCTGGATGGCAAGTGGTTCCAGTTGATGCAACATAGCTTTCTGCCCCGGTTCTTTTTCTTTTACATCCTTTTCCACGCATGCATGATCCAGTTCAATGGTACTACCAGCTGATAACAAGTTAAAATAGAACATATTTCCATTTCTTTGCTCCATGAAAAAATAGAAGAGCACCAAGTAACTCAACATATAATAGAACTGATTGATAGGAAATTAACCTGCTTCTCCATTACCAAGCAGTTCATGCGTCTGCCTCATCATATTCTGCTTCTCTGTAGAAGAAGCTTTATGCAGAACTTCATTCTGTCGCAATAAAAAAATGTGTATAATTATAATAGTACCGTACTCAGTAAGAAATTTTGTGTTAGGAATAAAGAAAAGGAAGGAAAATGAGAAAGTCAGCACATATTTGATTTTCTTGTTATGTAATATACTAATATAGTAACATGAACTAAATGATTAGATGGGTAATAAATGAAAATCAACTTAAAGATTTTATCAAGAGATTGCGTTGCTAAATTGAATTTGAATCTGTAGGAAATACTCCAGTGTATTATCACATTAAACTCCAAGAAAAAATTTGACATCAAATATATATTCGTATCTGCTTATAATCCTACTAAGCTTCTAAAAGAAGTCAAGCTCTAAGCTAATCAATGTTTCAAAAGAACAAAGTATGATGCATATACACGAATAACTCATACAACTGGGATACATACCATTTCCCTGTCTGTCAATCTTTCATTGGAATTTGTATTCAATGCAGAAACAACAAAAACATAATTATGGTTAGTATCCTGCATTACTACCACTTAACCAACTTATTCAAAGAAATCAACCAAGAGAACCTTCTTAATACTCTTCTCAAATAATAGGCATCCATATGTTCTGACATGTTTGACATAACACTGGATTGCCACCAAAAGTTAACAGCAATAGTCAAATCATCACTATCTACTTGGTGAAACCTGTAGCAAAGAGAGAACCATCATTTAACTTGAGAGAATACCAGGAGAAAAATAGAATCTATAAATGGAAAATATGATCATGAAGAATAATCTCGCAATAAGGATTTTATATGAGGAACAAATAGTCCATAAATAGAAGATATTCCATCACTAGGCAAAATAAGGACAAGATATATGCATAAATCCTAGTTGCTTAAGCATAGGATAGGATGTTGTTGAACATTCAATTGCATTGTTTTAGGCAAATCAGTTTTCCTCTCTGCTTGATTCTGTAGTACATAGTTAAAGTTGATCACAAACTCAAACCAGATATTAATAAGCATCTGAAGCAAGATTATAACTGGTAGACAATAAAAGCATAACAAGAACATGAAGGCTCCTAACGAAATAAACCGTTCCATAGGTAATCATGGATTTATAACTTACCATCCTTCAGGAATGAAGAGTGCATCACCTGCACAGAGAATAACCTTCTGTGAGTAGTCCATTAAGCATTTTGCTCGTGGATAAACTGAAAAATCCGGGTTTTCTAGAGAAAGTGCACTGTGGGAATGACATGAAAGCAAAGATCAAAATGTTGAAGACGGAAAGAATAATATGATAACTATCCTTGCACCGAATAGCATAAAATCAAATCTTCAGAAGTTAATCAGAACAAGTGAAATCAAGATCTGAATTTAGAGCAGTAGATAAAGTAGATTACCTGTGGTTTGATGCCTCGCCGTGTATGGGCATTGGATATAGCATGGGACTTGTGGAAGGAGGCCATAAAACCACTGCCGAAGAGCACGAGTTTTTCCAGAGTAAAAAAAAAAAGTAGAAAATCATTATTTTTACAAAGTAACGTGAAAACATGAACCTAATTGAATAAAATATAGTTTCACTTCAAAACAAAGTAGGAAACCTATAGAGGATACAACATATAACTTCCACCGACACAACCATAGTCTTCACCACCAACAACAAATCTGCAACGCCAATTCAAATTTCCTCTTGACCAACTCGTAAAGATCTCCATCAGGACCACCAATGTCAAATCCACCGTTTAACAGTTAAGTAAAGAAAAGCAGTCTTCAGATATTGAGCCCAAGCAACAACTGTTATCATAGAAGAGCTTAGGGCTCTTCTCCAAACAACTACAAAATTATAAGACAGCAACTGAACAGATCCCACTCATCCCTCGAATTCACACTAGCACCATTTCTTATCCGCCAACAATACAGAACCATCTTCCATACATATTAGGCAAATCGTGAGTTCTCATGCAAAATATTAGGACCAAAAGATAAAACATCAAATCCATAAGCTGAAGATATAAATATATCCACCAACTCCAAAATTATATTAAGCCTAACAACCACCCCGCCAAAAAAAAAAAAAAAAAGTTCCTACACGGAAAAATTTATTGAGTAAGGAGTTTAGAGAAAATGGATTTTACCTTGTTTACAGCCAGCAACTAAGCATAGAAGATTATGGTGTGGATCATAGTGGGTACTCGATCTAGCTTGCGCACAGTTCATCCACAGATTGACAGAAGCTAAAACCTTTTCCTCCAAAAGCAAAGGCTACAAATCAAACAACTGGAATAAGAATCACACACTGTGAAAGAAAAAAATTATTTCACCAACTAGTCCGAGATATTTACAAACCGTACAAATATCTTCTCTTAATGCCTCCAACTGAACCTTATCTTCACCTTCAATACGCATAATCGGCACCTGACGTACACAAACAAATATTCAAAATTCGCAACACCGTCATTCTTTTTCTATAATCCTTGTAAGAAAAGAATCACACCAGCGAAAAATACACCATAAAACAGATCGAAATACGGTTTCTGAAGCACCATTGATGAAATTAAACAAGTTAAACAAAAACAGAAATCTAGGCACCTGTGCTAAATAGATTTGTTGAGGAGCATCATCATAGGGCAAACAACCATTAGTTGAATCTTCCAATTCAGAACTAACACCGGGACCATCATCTTTGTTTCGCATTCGTTGCTTACAGAAACCAATGAATGCAGAAAATGGTAAAGGAACCTACAAAATAAAGGGAAATTTAAGTATTCAAGCTAGCTTTACAATGGCATTAACAGAGAATAAATAAGAAATTATTACCCTCTCATGGCTTCTAAGATCACCATAGAACACGGGCGCAGATTTAGATAGCATAGCCTCCACAACACACGATCCTACCCTTTCCTAAGTTCCATTTCAATTCATCAATGTAAATCAAGAAAACAACAATTCTAAAAATAAAAATAAAAAATCTTCAATTAAAAGAAAAGGAAAAGGTTTTTTCGTTACCTGAAAATAGTCGAGACCGCCATTCGCGGGGTTCCATTTGGATAAAGCTTTCCAGTTCTTAACGCATCCTTTGAAAACCTTTTCGATAGCAGAGAGAAAAAGGGAGAGAGAGTGTGAGTAAGTTTCTACGAGCTAACGAAAGAGTTTTCTGAGTGGCGATTGAATCGGAAACATACGGCGGGAAGGTTTGTGGATTCAATCCGAGACGCGAATTCCGCCGCCGATGGAAGTTCCTCGAGCACGATAATTCGCGGAGACGATTCCATTCTGTCGGTCTGGGGTCGTGCGGACGGGAACTCACTTTCTCGTCAGTCTCGGAGTTTTGGTCGTTCACTTCGCTGATTCGAGTTTAAAATTTGAGTTGAGATGTGACTTTATGTGAGAGATTTTTACTGTAATAAAAAGATTAAATGTGATTATTTATGAGAGTTTTTTACTGTAATAAAACTCGAATTCTAAACTCGAATCAGCGAAGTGAACGGAGCCTTAAAAAACAAACGACTCAAAAAAATGCTGAGCTGAATAGAAAAACTGACATGTCATTTAGGATGAAGAAACGACGTCGTTGAGGTAAGGACATGAAGAGCATTTTTTAATTTTCTTTTGAGAAAAATAGACAAATACAATGCATGGGTCTCAAATTTATTACCTGATTAATATCATTTATTCAAAAGAATTATATTAATAAAAAAGGTATTTTTTTTTATATAATACGTGATTGAACTCGCAACTTTCCACCTAAATTTCACCTCACTCAAACCCTTCAGTATCACTAAATCAAAAGGTCTTAAGCAGTCAAAAGTATTAACTAAGAGTAAATGATACAATTTTTTAAAAAATATATGCATTCAAAGAGCGAGTTAGGCGGGTAAAATCTTGAGTCTTTCCGGGGTTTGGGGGAGCCTTAGGAAGGTTTCAACAAGTGAATAGTGTTTGGCTTCTTATCTCCGATGGATTCGTGTAACTATGGACAGCCCAATTTTTTGAGCAATGCGGCCCTTAAAAGGAAAGTTGACTTCTATTCCGGAACCATATCAAGAATCATGCTGGGACAGGTCCAAAAGATGGGACAATTTCTCTTGATCGTTAGGCGGATGAAGGCCTTTGTAAGAAACTTTTAGAACCGGAGAAATTAGAAATGTCACTCAAATGATATCATCTTTACATTTACATCACTTGGTGTTATAAACTTAAGATTTATATATAAATGTAAAGATTTTGAATTTGGGTGGCAAAGCTTCTACTAGTATTTGGTTCTTTCGGGCTATTTGGGTTGCCAAAGACCAAAAAGGGGGTCCTTGAGCTATTTGAGTCACCAATGCAAGAAACGAGACATGGGTTATATGAGTCACAAAGGACAATGAACAAGCCTTTGGGCCAATTGGTTACTGGAGATAAGAGAATGGGTCTCCGATGTTATTTCTCCATTCATGATCAAAAATCAACCTGCGACAAAGGGTAGATGGGTGCCCGTTTAAGTCTCATTCATTTTACCGATTTGAGTTTTACTACCGTAAAAAATTCTCAAAAACAGTCATATCTAACTTTTTTATTACAGTAAAAAGTTCTTGTTGTGTGAAAAAATGTGACGGACACATGGATGAACGGAAATACGACACGTGCCATTGACTACTCCCCACCAAGCAAAAACCCTTGACGCCTACGGACCCCTCCTATTCCGTTGGACAGCGCGAAGTCTAAATTAGGACGACGATCCCTTATGGCGTCGACAGATCGCGCCATAAACACGAAGATCCCTCAACCGCAGAAAGGATCCAAAGAGGGCGATTAGGCCAAGCAGCGCTAACGACGAGGGGAACGTTCTTTAGAATACGTGACAGGTTGCGTGCTTAAGTGGAAGACGTCTGCAGGCATTAATTGCAAGCTCTCAAACCACCCCACATAGGGGACAAAAAAGTATTACGGAGAAGCACAGAGCCGTAATAGGAGACTAATTGGCTGAGTGAACAGTGTTGATTAGTAGGCTACGTCTGGGCCTACCAAGGAAGAGCACTTGAGTGCTCCCACCTAGGAAGGAAACTCCCTAAGCGAAGGAAGCCCAGTATAAAAGGAGGAAGACCCCCAGTAAGGCAGGAGTTGAGAAATTCCAGAAAAGAAAAAAGAGATTGAAGAAAAGCAATTGCTGTAAATTGTTACCTTCTAAACAGAAATACAAAGTCACAGTGGATGTAGCTCTCATTTTATAGAGTGAACCACTATAAAATTCATTTTGTAATTTGTCTATGTATGATTTAGTTAACACACATGTTCAACAAATCCACATACGTTAAATACACCCACGGCCGGTAATCTAAAGGGAAACTAAGAGGTAACCCGGCCGGTTTTTGTTGGCGAAATTTGACTGTCAACAGTTCTCATATAAACTCACATCTTAACTCAAATCAACGAACTAAACAGGTTCTTAATTACTCATGATCCTATGAACTATGGTCGGCAAGTGTTTTCCAAACGTGACTTGGGTCCATGGACAAAGCTCGTTCACATCATGGGACATAACAACAGGTCTAGACCTTAGAAAACTGAAAAAGCCTCGTATAATAAAGGGTTAAGAACCGACTCGGACTACACTAGACAGTAGACTCCATGTTTAGCAAGCTGATTGGCGATGCCATTAGCACTGTGAGGGGCAAATGAAACACTGCAAGCCTGAAAAGAAAGAAAAACATAAAAGTTACAAATTTCAGATACACTGGCCCATTGTTTAAAGATAAAATGACCATATTCTACTTTAAGTACCGTAAATTTTAATCAGGCAAAACAATATTGAGAATAAGAGGACGGCAAATCAGGTTCTCAAGGAAGAAAAAAAAAAAAAGGGCGGCAAGACGAGGCTGTTTAGTGTACTGATTTAAGTTTTTAATTTAAGTTTATATGTGATTTTATATGATAATTTTTTACTGTAATAAAAAAATATATGTAATTATTTATGATAATCTTTTATTATAGCAAAAAGTTATATGTAACTTTTTCTGATAGTTTTTTACTGTAATAAAACTCAAATTTTAAAATTAAATCGGTGAATTAAACATGGCTATATTTTTTCTTTTTGTCAACATGATTAGCACATTGTGTACTATTATCATTATGTATGTACTACCTTACGAGCCATGGTGGGGGGCAATTGTAGCATTACCAAGGAAATAAGTTTTCTCCCTGCTATGAACAAATGCCTCCACATATCTGGGCTGCTGGCTGCCTAATCAAGTTGTCGTTTAGTCAGTGTCTTGTTTGTCTGTCGGGCAATGATAAACAGAAGCAACACTATAGTGTTGGTCTACAAGTGTCGTTTGCCATCTAAATTAAGTGTGTATTTGGTTAGTAGATTCGTGTCATGGTTCGAATTAGAATTTGTGGCTCGCTATAGTGTTTTTTCTCACAAAAAAATACACATAAATTAAAAATAGTTTTAAATTATGATTCTAAATCTATGAATCAAACGTCAGCAAAACTCAAAAGTCATGTTGTAGTTTAACACAACCCAATTGCGATATTGGAAGTTTGGAGCTCGGTTAAATTGTATCAAGGACAATTGAGTTCAATATGGAAAAAAATAAAAATAAAAGAAGAAGATAATTGTGTGGATTCTTTGATTTAATTTCTTTACACATTGATTGTTTTTATTAGTATGATCAATAATATATGTGTGGACGAGGTTTTAATATATATATATATATATATATATATATATATCACCGTTAGTAATTATTTTTATACCTTTTTTAAATTCACGAATTTTGAAACATACTTGTACACGTTTACAAGATTTTTTTTTTTTAAATAACTAGTATTTTTCCTCCCTAAAAAGATAACTAGTACGTTTCTTTTATATACTGCTCATAAAGCGACAATTGTCTAATTATTGTTTTTCCCATATGTCATCGTTTGGACTTTGGACTTTAGATGAACAAAATTACATCCCTCATAAGAGAAAAGGGAAAGGGAACAGGAAAAAGAAGATTAGTTGTTAAAAAATTGAGACTGCCAAAAAAAATACAGTCTCAAAATCAAAAGTAAAAGATTAAAAAAAAAAAAAAAAAACTCTCAAAGCAATGAGACTTTTCACATTTGTTTTGAGCCACCGTTGAAGTGACATTTTTTACAATACTTTCTTCATAAAACTATCATAAAAGATCTTATAACAATTTATAAAATATTTACTTTAAGAAAATCAGAAAATATTTTAACTAAATTTATTTCCTTAATTAAATTATTATTTTTATCAATTAATTTTTTACACGTATTCATAAATTTCATGAAAATAAAATTTATAAATCCCCATCCTCATCACAAATCACAATCATCATCGTCAATAATACAAAATAAAAATCCAAATCTAAAATCATAAACACAATTTGTTCACGCAAGATAACTAATCCAAATCTATAAACACAATTGAAATCTAAATTCAAATCCAAACAAACTGAAAAATCAAACCTTAATTGATTTTAACCAAAATCAAAATATTTTACCAAAAAGAAAACACATATTAGAATAGACAACAAAAGGAATGCTTTAAGAAAGGGGAAATAGCACAATCTTCTTTAGACACAAACATGGCCCATCCTAGGGGTCTAATAGGAGAAACGATGGGAAATTTAAAATACTTTCATATCCATTCTATCTTTCGTTTCTTTTTTTAAATGTTACGGCAGGGTTAATTTTTAACTATTAAATTTAATTAAAATCACATTAAATTAAAATATATATATAAAATAAATAATTTTTAATATAAATATAACAGTTGAAAGTAAAAAATTATCGATAATTTATTTTTCTTATCTTATTAAATAAACTTTCCGGAATATGGACCGACTTTCTTTAATTTCTAAAAGAGAGAGTAATAAATTTATTGGAGTTTGGATATCTTGGGGCTTGTTCTTTTACTATTTTTGAGTTAGGTGATTTAAATGTAGATTTTGTGTTGAGTTTGAGTTATAATTTGAGTTGAAGTTATAACTTGAGTTTATATTTGGTTGTGTACGTTTGAGTCATGGTTGGAGATAATAATTTTTTTGAGTTTGTGTTTGAGTGAGTCAAAACTTGAATTTATATTTAGATAGTATTTTAATAAAAACTCAATGCTGATGGAAAATTTTAATAGGGTATATGGGTGAGGTTTTATTCATCTTTTCGTTGTCAACGCATAAAAAAATCATCTCAATCAGAATTAAAACAAAAAAGTTATAGCATTTTTAAGAATAGAAAAAATATTGTTCATTAATTTGAGTTTGAGT